TTGGACCCTAGTAGCAGATACAAACATGAAACATGCCCAAATTTTATGATAAATTCTACTATAAAGGAAAAATGGGGAGTACTACAAAAGAAAAGTAGGGCCATCATTTAGATTTGGTCATAGGAAAGTAGAATGAGTGGGAGTGGCCACCATAATTTCTTATTGACTTCTCACTGTGGAGATGAGACTCTGAAGATTTTTGAAAGCTACCATCATTTTCCCCCTTACTCCTTTTATACAAAGAGTTAATTGATTTTTTAGTAGAAACAGATTTTCGTGGCTTAATAAAGCTCTACCTGATTGACTCACCTCAGAAATTTCTTTTGTAGTTGTCTGCAAATCAATTTTATGGCATTTTTCTGCCCTGGAAATTAACTGTACACATGGAGAGTTAAGTGGGAAATTTAGGTTTGATACCCTGCTTCTGTAATGAAAGGACAAAAATACTTTGTATAGATGTTCAATGATTATTAGCTCTTAAAAAAAAGAAACCATTATTGATTCAGCAGATACTTCTCTGAAGTTTCTTTTTAGTGGCTTTAACTTGTAGAAATTGAGGTTGGCTTGTTTATATTTTCTGAAAGGCAAAAATAAAATAACATGCTTTTTCCATTCTACCAAAATACACATATGTGTAAATAAGGTAGCTTAAAGATAAGTAATTTAGAGGTTTCAGATTCAGTGCTAACATAAAGCGATAGAGAAATAAAGAAAATATAACCTCACTTAGAAGAAATTATCTATTTAGATTAAAAGAAAGAAAATAGTGCTGCCCCATAAGGGTGAGAAAAATGTTTATGAATCGAGCATTACCATAATTTTCTCCTTCCCCTTTCACCCCATGTTGAAGAGATATTTCATGATGCGTGTGATTATTGGTGAAAGTGATTTTCATTTGCTTAACCTAATCTATCATTCAAAATGTTGTGTGCTATTGGAATCAACAGGAACTACTGTTTATTGAATAGTTCCTTGGTGCTATACAAGTGTTAACTTATTTAATTCTTACTATGTTTCTCTAAAATAAGTATAACTTCCCTCCTTTGGCAGTTGGGGAAACAAACTCAGGAAATTGAAATAACTTGTCCAATATCACATGTCTAATAAGGAAAAGAACCAGGTTTTAAATCTAGGTTCATTTGACTGCCAAGCTTATGCTCTTTTCACTAAGATAAGCTGTAGGGTTAGAAAACAAACTGGGCTTCCTAGTCAGGAGACCTGGTTCAAATTATGACTCTGTCACTGATTAGTTATGTGACTTGTCTTCTTTTTTTTTTTTTCCTATGAAATGGGTCTAGCGCACAGTTTACCTTCAAGGGTCACTGTGAGGGTCCAGTGGGTTACACGTAAGAATTTGAGGTGTGGCTGGCAACATCTGATGATAAAATGTAGCAAGTTCAACAAAAGCTTTTTTAAAAAAATTCAGTAGATTTAGGGGGTACAAGTGTTTTTTGTTCGGTCCCTATTTTGGAGAGCAGAGTGGGAAAAATATTTGGAAATAATTTATGAATTTGTATGGTCTTGAAACAAATTTTATTTTATCTTTAGGTCACTGAAATTTGTATGACAGGAATTTCATTTGTAAATAACAATTCTTGCATAAGAAGGATTTTACTTTTCATAGAGCTCAAAGGCTAGATTGAGACAGCTCTTTGCAGAAATTATGAAACATCAGCTTCTCTCTAGATATTAGAAACTTTAACTTGTTTTATTGAGTGAGTTTGAATTAGGATAGCTTTCATGGGAACTAGAAAACTACAAGCAAAGATAACTGAATGTACTACTTCTACCTGCCCCACTGCCCTCCCCTTCAGTTTGTTTGTCTTTAGGATTCTTCCTCTTTTGAAAAGAAAGAGAAATGTTTTTCTCTTAAATATTTCCTCCTCCTTGTTTTGTTTTGTTTTAGTGTGTTGTTTTGTTGGTCTTCTTTTACTTTGAAATGGCAGCTGTTCCTGCCAGCTCCTTGGGAGTTTGAAGAATATCAGTCAGCTTCACAGCTGGAAATAGAATGATCTACAGCAGGGGTCCTCAAACTTTTTAAACGGGGACAGTTCACTGTCCCTCAGACTGTTGGAGGGCCATTGGAGAAGTGCGGCACACATTCCACACATGTGCATTGTGGACCTGGGACTAGTCGGCTGCTAAGCAGAGCAGGCAGCGGTGGCAAAAACACCCAGCAGGCCTGATAAATGTCTTTGGTGGGCCTCATGTGGCCCGCGGGCCATAGTTTGAGGACGCCTGATCTACAGCAATAATAAAACTTTAAGCTTTTTCTGTCACTCTAATTTCTCTTTTTTCTTCCATTAATGAAAGCAAAATTTGATTTGCCCTTCCATGACAAAGGAAGGGTTAAATTTAAGGAGCTGTGAATACTTTGAAGTAGGGGATGCAGGGTGAGAAAGACAGCTAGAGAATCTGTAGTCCTTAATCCTTTGATCTGTCAGTTCTGTCCTCTCAGCTGTGTTCCCATTCTTGTTTCTGCTTCTCTTCTTCTCAGGGTTGTCAGTGAACCTAGCAATGCCTGCCTGGCTCTGGATTATGTTAATTGCCAGCAAAAAGGCAATGGAGACTCCTTTAGGTATATTCTCCTGTGTCCGTACTTTGCAAGAAGAGGATGGTGATGATGATGTTGATAACTTATTATTTGGTAGGCACTGCCTTAACTACTTCCATTCCTATTTTACAGTTAAAGAAACTGAGGTTTTAAAGAGTAACTTCTGTTAGATTATTATTATTTTTTTAAACTATAAAATATTTTTTATTTCGGCATATTATGGGGGTACAGATTTTAAGGTTTCAATAAATGCTCATTTCCCCCCCTCCCCCCACAAGTCTGAGTCTAGCGCGCACTCCGGTTCGAGCAGTGACATCCCGGCAGGATTGTGCAGCATCCTCACATCATTGTGTATTATATGACCCGTCCCCTTCCCGCCCTCCCACCTGCCCAATACCCTTATTACTGTAGTACCTATGTGACCACTTAGGTGTTGTTCAGTTAATACCAATTTGCTGGTGAGTATATGTGGTGCTTGTTTTTCCATTCTTGGGAAACTTCACTTATAGTATGGGTTCCAGCTCTAACAGGAAAAATAAAGATGTGCTATATCACCATTGTTTCTTAGAGCTGAATAGTACTCCATGGTATACATATACCACATTTTATTAATCCATTCTTGGATTGATGGGCACTTGGGCTGTTTCCACAGCCTTGCAATTATGAATTGGTGCTGCTATAAACATCGAGTGCAGGTGTCTTTTTTGTAGAGTGTCATTGGATCATTTGGGTAGATGCCCAGCAATGGGATTGCTGGATCAAATGGTAGATTCAGTTGTATCGCTTTAAGGTATCTCCATATTGCTTTCCACAGAGGTTGAACTAGTTGGCAGTCCCACCAGCAGCGTAGGAGTGTTCCTCTCTCTCCGCAACCACGCCAGCATTTATTGTTTGGAGATTTTTGATACAGGCCATTCTCACTGAGGTTAAGTGATATCTCATTGTGGTTTTGATTTGCATTTCCCTGATGATTAAGAGATGTTGAGCATTTCTTCATATGTTTGTTGCCATTTCTTCTGTCTTCTTTAGAAAAGTTCTTGTTCAAGTCCTTTGCCCACTTTTTAATGGGGTTATTTGATTTTTTCTTCCTGAGTTTCGTGAGTTCTAAGTATATTCTAGTTATCAGTCCCTTATCGGGATGCATAGGATGCAAAAATTTTCTCCCATTCTGTAGGTTGTCCTGTTTACTTCATGACTATTTCTTTGCTGTGCAGAAGCTTTGTAGTTTGATCATGTCCCATTTATTATTTTTGTTGCTGCTGTGATTGCCTTGGGACTTCTTCATAAACTCTTTGCCCAGGCCGATGACTAGGAGAGTGTTTCCAACTTTTTCCTTTAGAGTTCTAATAGTTTCATACCTTAGGTTTAAGTCTGTTATCCAACGTGAGTTGGTTTTTGTGAGAGGTGAAAGGTGTGGGTCCTGTATTAGCCTTCTACAGGTGGCTATCCAGTTTTCCCAGCACCATTTATTGAAAAGGGATTCTTTTCCCCAGCGTATATTTTTGTCTGCTTTGTCAAAGATTACATGGCTGTATGAGGATGGTTTTATATCAGGATTCTCACATCTGTTCCACTGGTCAATATTCCTATTTTTGTGCCAATACCATATTGATTTAATTACTACAGTTTTGTAGTATAGTTTGATATCTGGCATATTATTGCCTCCCATTTTGTTTTGTTGCCAGAATGTCTCTTGATATTCGGGGTCTTCTTTGGTTCCATACGAAGCGTAAAATTATTTTTTCTATATCTGTGAAGAATGCTGATGGAATTTTAATAGGTATTGCATTGAATGTGTAGATCAGTTTGGTAGTATAGACATTTGATGATATTGAGTCTACCGATCCACGAGCATGGTATGGATTTCCATCTGTTTACATCCTCTGCTATTTCCTTCCTCAGTGTTTCATAGTTCTCCCTGTAGAGGTCTTTTACGTCCTTGGTTAAGTATATTCCTAGGTACTTTATTTCTTTGTTGCTATTGTGAAGGGAATTGAGTCTTTGATTTGGTCTCAGTTAGATGTGTGTTGGCATATATGAATGCCTCTGATTTCTGTGTATTGATTTTGTATCCTGAGACTTTACTAAATTCATTGATCAGTTCCAGGAGTTTCTTGGTTGAATCTTTGGTGTTTTCTAGATACAATATCATATCATCAGCAAACAGTGAAAGTTTGATCTCTTCTGCCCCTATTGGATACCTTTGATTCCATTTCCTGTCTGATTGCTGTAGCCAAGACTTCCAGCACTATGATGAACAGAAGTGGAGATAGTGGGCAGCCTTGTCTGGTTCCAGTTTTAAGTGGGAATGATTTCAATTTTTCCCCATTCAGTATGATGTTGGCTATGGGTCTGTCATATATGGCTTGTATCATTTTAGGTATGTCCCTTCTATGCCTATTTTCTTAAGTGTTCGTATCATGAAAGGGTGTTGAATTTTGTCAAAAGCTTTTTCTGCATCTATTGAAAGAATCATGTGGTCTTTGTTTTTGCTGTTAGATTATTGACTGAGGTCATGCTGCTAGTAAGAGGCCCAGGTAGGATTTGAGTCCAGGTCTGTCTGGTCCCAAAGTCTTGATTAATACCAATGCATTAATGCTAATAATTCCCTTAGTTAACAAATATCATAATGAATTGAGAGCCCAAAGAAGAGCAAGCTACTGTCCTTGCCCTTAAGTTGCTCTTAGTCTAGTCATAGGGAGCATTCACGTAATCTAATTATAAGGCAGTGTGATAAAACTCTTACAGAAATATGTTCAAAGCTATCGAAGCACAACAATGAGTTTTTTTGGTTATACGTTGGAGAGCTGAAGGCATCACAAAGGAGATGATATTGAATTTGAGTAGTCCTGACTGCTTTGACTACTTCTATCATTAGTTTTATGGTGCAACAGCATTTAGGGCATAGGCAATATCACTAATAAAAGCAGAGACATACAAGTACTTGGGTCACTCAGGTAATGTTGAGTGTGAAGTTATGGCTGATGCATGGTAGAGAAGGACGATGTCCAGAGATAAGGTTAGAGACTGAGGTTGGCACTCAGTTTTGAAGGATCTTGTAGCTATGCTAAGGATTTTGGGTGCACCTCTAGAAGCATTAGTGAGGCAATAAACATCTTTAAGCCAGAGAATGACATAATGTGGTCTGCCAAGATCTGATCACAGTGGTACTAGTGTGAAGATTGAATTGGAAGGGGAAGAACTAGACAGAAAATTTTTGATGAGACTAATGCAATAGACAAGCGAAGAAATAATGAAGGCCTGAAATAATGCAGCATTGGTAGGGATGGCAAGGATAAAAGGGGCTTGAGAAATTAGTGAGAATTGACATGTAAAGAGGGAATGATAAGCAAATTCAAGATTTTTTTTTTTTAGTTTAGGTGGCTATAAGGATGCCATTTATTGAGATGAGGAAACCAAGAGGATGATCAAGTTGGGGGTGGAGGACAGGTAATAAATTTGTCTTTTGGACATGTATTGATTAAAATGCATCTGGGATGTTTAGTTAAGGGAGATGTCCAATAAGCTGATGACTCATGATCTGTTTTTCAACTGACTAGAAATAAAGGAGTCTGGAGCTCATCAGAGGAGCCCAGATTGGAGATATCAATTTGTGAGTCATCAGCAAAGAAGTGATAATTGAATCAGTGGAAACAGATGAGATCACAGAGGGAAAGAAGAATTAAGGGCAACCTTTGAATATTATCTATTCATCTACCTGCTTTGGTTGTCTATAAATGAATTTGAATGGGTGGACTAGTGTGGAATGACTAATAATTCCAAACATAGGAAGGTCTCTCTCCTGTGACTGGAACACAGCTTGTTATTTCTTTCTGGAAGACTGAACTGATTGCCAAGGCAACTTCCTGTCGCTTGATGGGACTCTTTTAAAACCAAATAACATTTCAAAACAAAATGTTTTACATGATAAATATATAGAATTTTTATCAATTGTAAAAAGGACAGCCTTGGAATGAGGGGTTGGTGAAAAGAGTTCAGCTTTCTTTTGTAGCAGGTATGTGGAACTTTTTAGTAAATGAGAACATGAGAATTTGTGTAGGGGGTAAATCCAGCATATCTCCTAGCCTGTTCTATTATTTGTCACCAGGAAGATAGTGACATACCATGACTCTTTGTAGTACTCCAACCAAATTTAAATGGAATAGAGCCTCTTTTAATGTACATAGTATATTGTACTCAATAGTAGCTGGCAAATACATACCAGTAGACCGTAAGACTATTATTTTCCTGTTCCCGTCATATACTAAAAATATTCATGCACATTAAATACGAGTGAAGCAATACAATTAGTTGCTTTTTAGGTCCTAGAAATGAGTTGTTGCTCCAGCTCCAGCTCTATAGTCATAGTCATAAAGTAATTATCCCATTTTCATTGTCTGAATGAATTGAGGCAGCAAAACAAAAATTAGACTTTATTCCATCTGGTGTTTGTAAACAGATCCCACTGCCTTTACTTATAGTAAATCAGATTCCAGGATTTGTATTATATGCTCATGTTTATAATTTTAACCACTTCGGTATGAGCGTCAACTATAGTCGATAGCCACAGATGAATGCGCACAGCCGAGCCTCGACTTTAGCCGGCAGCCATGATGTTAAGGCGCACAGCCAAGTGTCGACTTTAACGTTAATAACAAAACTTGACTTTTCTAATTTTTCGTTTATCAAAATAAAATTGTGAACATTTAAAAATAACGTAATGAAAACATATATGTATGTGTTACCTATTCTGATTTACATTACAAGTAAAGCTGCTTGTAAAGTAAAACAAGCTTTCAGTGCTTTCAAGCTTTCCTCATCACACAAGAGCAAAACGGATTCGTCATTAATGCACAGCACAAACTATCGTGCGGACTAAGAGTGCCGGCTGTGGACAAGGTTTCATGGCCAGTGAGCACCATACTGAAGTGGTTAAAGATTCTAATCTTATAGGTTATAAGAGGCAGTGTTTTATAGTGGAAAGAGCAAGCTTTGGGGCCTGATATGCCCCGGGTTTAAATCAGGGTTTGCCATTTCCTAGCTGAGTGAGTTAGACAAGATACTCAACTTCACAGTTTTTTTCCCCCTTAATTGTAAAATGGGCATAATTATAACACTGATCTTTCAGGATTCTTGTGAGTTCTTAATGAAATAGTGAATATAAAATGTCAGGCTCAGTGTATATAGTATGCTATTTTTATCCTTCCCCTCAACATGAATTAAAGGCAGCATTTCTCAAAATTTGTTCTGTTAAACTCTAATGCTTTCAAAATGCTTTTTTAAAAAAAGGTGTTCATTTTTATTGTTCAGCTGAATTTGTGAAATGCCACCTACTCCCATAGTTCCCTCTTGGAGAACTACTATACAAATTAACATACTTAATTGTGCTGAGAAGCCATGGTATGAACAAATCATTTTTTTGTTGTTGTTGTTGTTGTTGTTTAAATTTTTAAGCCTAGCATTTCCCAAATTTATTTTTTTAATTATGCCATTTTTTTTTTTTTTCTTAGAACACCTAGAAGCAGCCCATGTTATTGATGGGATACATTTTGGAAAAGGTCAATTTAGTAATCAGCGCCAGGTGCTATTTGATATTTAAGCGTTTGGTTTCATGGAACTACAGCTACCATTACAATATCCTATGGACTACATAGTGCTAGCCAGCTTAAAAGTTTGGGAATTTTTATGTTGCAATGGACATTATTCGTTCAGGAAAACTGAGTTTCAATTGCAGTTCTGCCGTTTGTAGCTGTGTGGCCCTTGACCAGTGACTAATTTCTACATTGGCAGGCCTCAGTGTTCTCATCTATGAAATAACACCCTTTCTATCTGCCCCACAAGATTGTTGCAAGAATCCATGAGACAATAGTTGTGAAAACAACTTGGAAAATTAAAACCGCTTGTCGGTGGAGGGTGGTATTACTACTATTCTAGGAAAAGGAATTATAGGAGCAGTGAAGGTAGAATAGGGCAGTCTGGAGGTTGAGCTATGCTGCTTTCTCTTTCCCATCAAGCACGCTTGGATCCCATAGGCTACCTGCCTGAAAACATTTTCAACTCCTGAGTTTCTTAGTAATTAAAACGATTCCCAGATGAATGTGCCTGAATGTCAGTAGCTCCATCTTTTGTCAGTGTTCTTGGACTCCTTTGCGGAAGCCATTGTGAAATACAGTATGTAGTTTAGCATCATGTAGCTATGCCTGCTGCTGAATATTTAACACTGAATTGTAATTACGCACAATGGAAAAGAAGATTGTTAGGATTTAATTAATAGGCTCTAATTAATGGGTTTAATGCTTTGCTTACTCATACAGTTCAACTTTTTTTTTGTATCTACCTATAATATATTTCTTTCTATTAGGAGACATTAAACAAAATAATGTTGCTTTAACATTAAACACTATGTAAAGGATGAAAAATGTCTCGAGTTACTGTTTCAATACTATATTTTGCTATATTGTTCTGTTGTTTTCTTTATTGATGTTAGTAGGGCAGTTGTGTAACTCATTTCCTTATTTATCAGAAACTGGTAAAACTTAGGTGTCACTCTGAGCAAGCTATGTGACACTTTAAAGAGATGGAAACAAGGTTTTTTATAACTTCAAGGTCAGTATTACACTCAATGGAGAACTATACCTCGATATCATAATCATTGAGCTTTTCTGTCTTTGAAAATTAAAAAAAAAAAACCTGTTTGCGATTTTTACTATTTTAGTTGAAAATTTTAGGTCACTTTCCCATTGTGTGGACATTAATTTTATGTTTGCTCTTTAAATACTGTGAATACTCATTTCTAGTTACACAAGGAGACTAGCTTTAAGCAAGCCTTTTTGATCATATAAAATAGTGTTCCCAGCAATAGAGATAAGCTTCATACTCCATCATAAAGTACTTTTTTCATTTGCTCAGTGTACAGAGGCAGTTGTGACACAAAATTGGGAGAAAATGTGCTGTACCCCCTTTTCTTATTTTTTTCTCAGTCAGGAAGGCCTCACTTTGTCCTTAAAGTAAATCGTATCTCTGAGGTTTTAAAAAAAAAAACCAATAACCTAGTCTTATTATTCCCTACAGAAGCAGTTTTAAAACTAATGGAAATAATATTTTATAAATTGAATTAGAATGTCAGAGTTCTAAAGCTATATCTTTAAAGATAATCTTGGGAAAATATTTTGTGGGTTTTAATTTTTACTATTTATATTTCAGTATTGTTCCTGAGAGCATATTAGAATGTCATATTGGTTTTTTTTTCTTTTTCTTTTTGTCATATTGATTTTGATACCTAAAGTCTTTGTCTTTATGGGATATTATAAACCATATTTAGAACCATACAAATACTACAATGAATTTAGTCAAAATCTGTACTGGATTTATAGTGGGTTTACTAGTAATTATGTTACCCTCTTTTGTCAGAAAGACCACAGTAATCAAAACCGTGTCTCACCTTTTACATACATAATTGGATGAAATCACCAGATGGTGATATTAAGAGTACATCAACAGGAAAAGTTGAAAATGGGAGCTGCATGGAAAAATACTAGAACCAATTAGCTCTGTCAAAAACCAAGTGACCAGGTATAGGGGAGAAAAATAGATTTTGACCATGAACTGACTTCAAGTCAATAATGGAAAGAAACAGCAAGATGACCCTTCTTAGAGCTTTCTTAGGCATTTAATGATAATAATAGCAGAAAATACTTTAGAAATTGACACATCATGGTCAGTGTTTGAAAACTTGTGTTTAGATTTCTTTCATTTTTCTAATGTTTTATGATAATTTTCAAACATACAGAAAATTTGAAAAAATTATACTGTGACCATAGGTGTATCTATGTAGATTCTACAATTAACATTTTGGTGCATTTGTTTTATCACATAACTACCCATGTATTCATTTTATTATCCATTTGTCATTCCATCTTATTGTTTTATATGTCTGATAAGTTGTACGTATCTATTAACTTCAGTCCTGAACATTTCAGCATGCATATCACTAATTAGAATTCAATATTTGTTTGTTTTTTCAGATAAAATTTACATACAGTGAAATGCCCAGATCTTAAGTATACCATTTAATCACTTTTGACAGATGCATACCCTCGTGTAATTAAGAACCTTATCAAGATAAAGAACAAAGTTCCATCATGCCCCTTCACAGTCAAATCCTGACTTCCCTTCTATTCTCAAAGGAAGTCACTCTTGTGATATTTTTCATTATAAATTAAGTAATTTAGCTTAATCTAGAATTTCTTATGAATGGAATCAGACAATATGTGTTCCTTTTGGCTAAGGCTTTTGCTCAGCATAACATTGAGATTCATCTATGCTGTATATATCAGTCTATTCCTTTTCATTGGTGAACAGTATGTATCCTATGGATATACCAAAGCACAGTTTGTTTATTCATTCTGCCATTGATGGGTACTTGGATTGTTACCAGTTTGGGGCTACTAAGGAATAAAGCTGCTGTGAAAAGACTTGTATAAAAGCCTTTTTGTGAATATATGCTTTTCTCATGTAATTGCCCAGGAATGGAATTACTGGATCATAGTGTAAATATATGTTTAGTTTTTTAAGAAATGGCCAGATAGTTTTCCAAAGAATTTTTATCATTTTACACTCCCACCAAAATTTAAGGATATTCTGGCTATCCACACCAACACCAGGTATTGTCAGTCTTTTTAACTCTTTTGGTGGATGTGCAATGGTATCTTATATGTTCATTTTTAGTGCTATTTTATTATAATATGCACTAACCTGGTGACTAATGATTTTGAGCATCTTTTTATGTGCTCATTAACCACTTCCTTTGTGAAGTGTCTGTTCAAACCCTTTCTTTGCCCACTTTAAAATTTTAATATTTGTCTTTTTAAGTTGAAAGAGTTCTTTATATATCCTGGGTACCAGGACTTTATCATATATATTTTGTGAATATTTTCTCCTAGTTTGTGCCTGGCTCACTCATTTTTTGAAATGATGCATTTCGTGGAAAAGTTTTTTTGTTTTTGATAAAGTATAATATATCAATAGTTTTTATTGTTTCGTGTGTTCTAAGAAACTTTTGTCTACCCGCAATGCTAGATTTTGAGATATATTTATTACTTATAAATTGGTGTATCCACTGAAAAAAATTTTACTTTACTCTTGATGCTTTCACCCATTAGTCAGTGCTACTCACTTACGACCTTATGGTGATTCAAAAGAAATCTAAAGATCTCAATAAAAAATATAGAGCCAGTGGCTTCAGGTTTCTCCCCCTGTAACATCCAGGGTATTTTCTAATTTTCTTGAGTTTTATATATTTGGAGGATGGGAAGAGGTAGTAGTGAGGGTTGGCCATCTAGAATTGCTAGTGTAAGCTGAATTCTATTCTGTCTAAAGCCCACTGGAGATTCTGGACAATGTATGAATTTACATTATCCCTGAGAAAGCCATCAGATATAAGTACAGTAGTGATCTCTGTTGATAAACTTACTTTCATATGTGTTTGATTTAATCCCTTTTTCTGTTAGAGCAAGGTGGTGATTATCAACAATTGATTGAGAAGAAACATATCAGAATTTTGATATGATATCCAGTAGCATTATGGAAGAGTAATTTTAGATATAGCAAAGGTTTTATTTTTATTTAATTTTAAAAAGTTTTTATGGATGTTTATTTCATTAGAGAAAAAGAAGCAAAAATGAAAATGGAAACAAAACCAAGAATCCCTCCCACCCTGATCCAGAATTGATGTTGTAGGTGCGATCAAGTGTGCTTTGGGGTTCATCATACAGTGTCAGTAAATGTAAATGGTTCTATAAGAATTGGAAAGCCCAATATGCAGTGCAGAACTAGAGAGTTCTGATTGTAGAAAATCTGCATGTAAGTCCAGTGACTATAAGGTTTATCGGATCCTAGTTAGGAGACCTCTGGGTTTTCCAAAACAGAGTGATCTTCACAGGACTGTGGAATGAAGAATAAAATTAATAGCACATCCAGTTATCAGTAGGAATTTTGTTCCTGTTTTACTTATTGCAGAAGTCTTGGTGTGATGTCAGTAACAGTATTTCAGGATCTCCTTTTATGGATATTTTTGGCCCTGAAGGCTAAGAATAGCACAGGGCCTTCCACTTTATTCAGAGTAGTCAATTTTGTGTGTGTGTGTGTGTGTGTGTGTGTGTGTGTTTGTGTTTGATATTGGTAATGGGTTTGGTGGTGGTGGTATAGATTTAACTACTTACAGAAAATTCGGCAGTTAGTTTTTCAGTGACTTGCTTTGAGATCTATCAAGCTTTTCTTCCTAGCCAGTTTTGCCAACCCAGGAGTCATATGCATTCATATGAGTTCACATGAGCCCAATGCTCATGTCAAGCTGTTCACATGATCAGTAGAGAATGCTTTAAGGAACCCAAGTTATGTTTTAAATCCTTAAACAATGAAAAATTTCCTTTGGGATCTGAGAGGCTCATTTTTATTTTATCCTACCACTTCCTCCTATGTCAATATCCCAACTATGTGTATTTTGAACTGTTGAGGCAATAATGTTAGAAGTGAGTTTCATGGTAAAGGATTGTGTGTTCATGAAGATCAGTGACTTGATTTTTACATCCTTTACTCTTATTTTTTTTTACTGTTACAGGAGAAGCTACTATGGAGGAAACTGGGCCAGTTTTACGTTTTCAGGACTGTTGTCCTGGCTAAAGGAATATCAGGTAAAGTTCTTATCTGACTTTTGATTTGCTAGGTTGTGTTTTGTGTTATGTAATAATCCTGCTTTGAAGAAAACTGTAAATTTTATCTGTAATATAGGATTAGATACTTTATTTTTATTCATTTATTTAACAAAATATATGCATAGTCACCTTTTCAGCTAATATTTTTCTGATGCCTTTATCATATAGGTATCATTTTTTAAACATAAATAGATATATTGGCTGAAGAGTAAATTGAATATACTTAATACCATTTCCTAATTATTCTATATGCCCACATATAAGGCAAGATTTTTTCCCCAAAATTATCTTGCAGAAAAAAATATCCCAGCTCCTTATAAAATACCATGTTTAATAGTTACTCTTTTAGTTAGTATATATTTTTTTCATTTTTTTCCAGCATATTATGGGGGTACAAATATTTAGGTTATATATATTGCCTTTGTCATACCCAAGTTAGAGCTTCAAGTGTGTCCATCCCCCAGACGGTGCGCACTGCACCCATTAGGTGTGTATATACCCATCCCCTCATTCTCCTTCCCATCTGCCTGACACCCCTTGAATGTTATTACTGTATGTGCACTTAAGTGTTGATCAGTTAAGGAGAATGGCCTTCATTAAAAAGTCCCAAAACAATAAATGTTGGCGTGGATGCGGAGAGATAGGAACACTCATGCACTGCTGGTGGGACTGCAAACTAGTAAGTAAAATCTCTGTGGAAAGCAATATGGAGATACCTCAAAGAGATACGAATATATTTTGAACAAAATAAGAAAACCCCAACTATTTGGGGAAGATACATTAAATTTAAAATGATCTCAGTCGGTGGTAATTTTGCTTTTATAGAGGTTATCTGACAGAATCGGCAAAAAGAAAAAGCAAGGAAAGAGATTAAGTGTAAATTCAGTAATTCTTTTTTCTAAGAGTATGCTCTCACTACTATAGATGTTGAACACCATTGTAAAGAAGCTTTTTAGAGAGCACTTACAGCATAATATGAAGGGTTATGTTATAGAGTTTACCAGTTTTTATAAGACAGTTTTTTAAAATTGTCCTAATTTTATGCAAATGGGTATATATGGCTTGAAATGAAATTCCCACAAGTCTAGATTCTCAGAACAGCAACAACAAATACCCCAGTTGTCATAATGGAAAAGTTTTGGTGAGTGAAGGGATTTTTGAAAATAAATTTTGGTAATGTGTTAGATTTGTTCAAATAAAAACACTGTTATAAAGAAGTTTCTTTTATTTTAATGCTTGTTTTACTCCAGAATCTTGACTCTGTCACCATCTCCTTTTCCCCTTCACTCCTGCTCCCCTGGTCCATGGTTCTTTTCTCAGACCCTATGTCTACACATTCAGAGTTCTTGTACTTTATGTTTTTTTCTATTTATGTGGGATGTTTAGTACTATCTAATGTTAGACTTTATAATATGAACCATCTGCCACAACTTTTCTTCAGTTTAAAATGTTAAATTTAGGGTAACAAAGCATTTTAAAAATAATTACTGTCCTACTTTATGAAATTTGTAGCTTCAGAAATTTTCTGTGATGAATGTACTTGAAAATGTTATAGTTATATTTCACTACTAGTTTCTTGAGTATATATATAAGCATTTTCAAAATGTATATCAAGACGTTTTCTCTGAGAAAGATGTGTATTAAACAGCTTAAAATTTTAAACAGATTAAAAATTGATCCTTGGCATTTGAAAAAACGTATATTTTGATATCTTCAAAAATCTCCTTTATTCAAATACTGCCGTACACATAATTTTCTCCATATAATGTAATTAGGAATCACTGAAAATTTTTAGGGACCACTTTCAGACTCAAGTGAGAGGTTACATGCTTTATTATACATTCTTGTTTTTATTTTTCTGAATATAAAATATTCAGGGATTGACTATTATAAAGCCCTTAGTTATATAGAGCTGAGTACCTTTCAAAGATACTTTTACATGTAATCAGTATTTGACATAGCTAGTGACTAACCTTCAAAGATCTGAAAGTAAATAAAATGAAGGAAGTTATTTTGATGCTGATGTTTTGACAACCAAATGTAAAAAGAAAAGACACCTTTTTTATTATTAACAATTAGTATATACCACAGATATGCTTGATTCTAAGCAGGTGGAGGGTTAGTTCTTTAAGCAATATGAAACAGCCATGTCCAAATGACTGTATCAGAATGTCACATATCCTGATAGAAATCTGTAAACCAGAGCTAGTTTCCGATAGATTTTTACACATTGTTTTCCTATCCTTCCTTTGAAGCTGGCATACTCTGTCAGCATCACTTTGGTGACTCTAAAGTGATATCCTTCTCTTTGAGTTTTGATGGGATAAAAAGAAATGCATGAGGCCGGGCGTGGTGGCTCACGCCTGTAATCCTAGCACTCTGGGAGGCCGAGGCGGACGGATTGCTCGAGGTCAGGAGTTCGAAACCAGCCTGACCAAGAGCGAGACCTCATCTCTACTACAAATAGAAATAAATAATTGGCCAACTAATATATGTAGAAAAATTAGCCAGGCATGGTGGCACATGCCTGTAGTCCCAGCTACTCAGGAGGCTGAGGCAGAAGGATTGCTTGAGCCCAGAAGTTTGAGGTTGCTGTGAGCTAGGCTGACGCCACGGCACTCACTCTAGCCTGGGCAACAAAGCAAGACTCTGTCTCAAAAAAAAAAAAGAAAGAAATGCATGAATTTTGACAAAATGTAAAGTTTCTCAGAAAATTCTAGGTTCAAACTGCTCACTTTAATTAAAACTTATCTGTTTTTTGTTCAGGAAAACAATGACATTGTGACTGAAACTCTAACATGTCAAAAGCAGATCCTTGAAAATGAAGAAGCCATTGCTCTTAGCAGGAAAGACAAAGCCATTCAACATGTGGAAGTACTTTGTTATGCTAGGTATGAAAAGTATTTATTTAGGATAAACTATAATAAGTTAATGATTTCTTTTTCACTCTTCTTCAGAAGCCTACAATAAGGATTTATTTATATGGCATTGGTTGCTGAAAGTCATTGATAGGCTGGTTTTACTTGTTTTTAAGTGTAATTTTCAGTTTTCTCTGTTTAGGTAATAACAATAGACATCTTACATCAATGCCTTACAATTTGGCAAAATCTTTTAAATGCATTATCTCATTTGATCTTCACAACAATCCTGTGCTAGGGTAGGGTATGTGATATTTGTTGCATTTTTTACAAAATCCTCAATGGAGCTCAAAGAGATTAAGTAACTTGTTGAAGATCAGATGGCTTGGAAAATGGCAGGGCCATACCTAAGCTAGAGAGTAGTAGAGCCTAAGATTAAAAAACCCAGGGTTTTTATTATTATTATTTTTCCTATCCTAGTATTCTTCCAACTATACTATCCTTCTTAGATAATATTCAGTATAAGTAAATAGAAGGTTATAATTTTTAATTTAAAAAAATTAAACTGAGTGGTTATAACATTTGGTTACATAGTTTTGTAAATTAGGACAGTGGAAAATTAGAATGCTTTAAGTGTCTTCCTCCAAGTGATAAATTGTTTTAAAATAATTGGAATAGTTTATTATTTTTTCAAATAACATACGGTTGACAGGTTGAAAGTTAATAATCACATAGTTAAGTGCAATCATTTTAGTAATTATAGAGTCCAGAGGCTTAGAACATCAGCCTGTCAGGCACTTTAATAGTAATTAAAACTTCTGTTCCAATAAACTAGGGATTCTTCAGGATATGCTCTACATCTTTCACATCCTTGTTGTGGCAGAGTGGTAAGTGTTACCTGAGCCCGTGAAAAGTTTGGGAACTTGAGCTTGATTTCTTATGTTCATAAGAAATCTATGTTCGTATCTTTCAGGGAACTAGTTTTTTCCCCATAAATATACAGTTAATGTTCTATGATTTTCTGTAAAAGCACAGCCTTTGAAGTGTCAGATATAGATTATAATTTATATAATGCTAAATGACATTCATTATGAAAAGATATAGCTCACTGACATTTTTCAGGGCCTGTGCAGAAAGATTTACAACAAAAGGTGGTTTCAACTGGAAAATCATATGTTTAATGAAACTAGGAATAAATATTTGGCAACTTCTTTGTGTGATATTGTATGTATATAAATATTACTTGACTACCATATAGTGACAGTCACACTGTGGCCTTTTGAGATGTACTTTTTGATACTTCAAAGCCTCTGATTTCTATACTCTGTGTGATAACTGAGGTTAATAGTTTCTAATGACTGAACTGACACATTTTGAGTGCAGAAGACATCATGTCATTTCAGTTCCTGATCTCTTGAGTTTCATTTTTGGAAGTTCTCAAAGTGAGAAACTATAATAAAAAGATATCAGTGGAAGGTTTGTTTTAAAACAGCAAATAGGACTCTGCCATATGTTCCTTTCCTTGTCAATTAGAGCAAGAGGTGAACTGGAATAATGTTCTATATGTCTTCATTCACTTGGAAAATTTAGCTGTTTATTAGTGTCATAGTAAGCAGGAAGAGCCTCAAGAGCATCCAGGGAAGCAGAGGACTGTACAGAAAATCTACTTATCTATAGTAGGTGCTAACCACATGGGTAAATGGGAATAACCATACCTCATTTAACCTCAGCCAGATTGTGGCATCCTTAATCTTTTGGATGATGGCCACAAACCTGGAATTATGTGAAAGGGGCTATGGCCAAAACAGCTGTCACGATGATTTACTTTATATGAGCAGTGATCACCTAGGAGCCACTAACTTAAAAGCCTTATTTCATACAATTTTCTGACAACCTTATCTTCTGGTTTTTCTACTATTAAAGCAGCAAATAGGAAAGGGGTATCTACTAGAGGCAAGCACACTGAGAACCACACCGAAATAGGGATTATAGTCCTGCCTTTATGATTTAACTTGCTGTGTGATACTGAGCAAGAGATGTGTCCACTTTGGATTTTTGTTTTACCATTAGTAGAACATGAAGAATTTGGACTAGGTGATCACAAAAATTCTTCGGGTTTCTAATATGCTGCTATTTTAGGTGCTAGTTGATAGACTAACGAAGAAGAAAACAGCATCAGCAAGCTGAGAGCATTTGCCCCTTTAGTGTAGGGGTAAATGACTTTTCGTAACAGAAGATCTGTCAAGGACATCACTATATTATGGCACACTATAACCATTGATGATTATAATCATACCCCAGAGTCTTTGGGCAAAAGGTAAATAATATTCTCTATCCTCCATTTGAAAAAATAGGGAGATTTGAAGCACATTTTAGAAAGATGAGTATTAAAAATAGTTAAAAAATTGTTACTGGCTGAGCAGGATGTCCCACACCTATAATCCTAGCACTTTGGGAGGCTGAGGTAGGAGGATCCCTTGAGGCCAGGAGCTCGAGACCAGCCTGAGCAAGAGTGAGACCCTGTCTTTGCAAAAAGTAAAAAAATTAGCTGGGTGTGGTGGTGTGTGTCTGTAGTCCCAGCTACTTGGAAGGCTGAGCCTAGGAGTTTGAGGTTACTTAGAGCTATGATGATGCCACTGCAATCCAGCCCAGGCAACAGAGCAAGGCCCTGTCTCAAAAAAAAAAGAAAAGTTATTTAGAAAATTTTATTTACTGCTGGGTAAGTAAGAGTATCACTATGTAGTAGATCTTTGACGTTCGTGAGGGATACATCACAAAATCTTTGTGAATACCCTTTTGTAAATAATGAAAAATAGGGTACAGGTTCCTGCCTTTTTGATTTTGCTTTGTTTTTTAGCATATATGTTATTGCTGTTCATGTTACATTTTGTGGATATAGGGTTTGTGTGTGTGTATTCAGTTCCATACAGTTTTATCACATGTTGGTTCTTGTATCCACCATCACAGTCAAGTTATAGAAAAATTCTGTCACCACAAGGATTCCTTCTACTGCCTTTTTATAAATATACCTCATTTCCTCCTTACCCACCCCCACCATTCCTAACTCCTGACAACCACTATTCTGTTTTCCAGCTCTATAATCTTGTCATTTTGAGAATATTATATAAATGCAACTGTATAGTATGTAACCTTTTGGCATTGGCTTTTTTTCACTCAGCAGAATTTACTGGAGATTCATCCAGATTGTTGTATAGATCGATAGTTTGTTCATTTTTCATTGCTGAGTTATATTCCATGGTATGGATATACCACATTTTGTTTAATCATTCACTCATTGAAAAATACCTTAACTGTTTCTAGTTTTTGGTTATTACAAATAAAGCTGCTATGTAATTTTGTGTACAGGTTTTTATGTAAACATTTATATGGGACAAAAGTTTTCATTTTTCTGTGAAAAATACCTAAGTGTACAATTGCTGGGTCATATGGTAATTGCTTGTTTAGTTTTATAATAAAAGAGACTGCCAAACTATTTTGGAGGAGCTGCTGCATTTTACATTCTTATAATAAATATATGAGTAATCCAGTTTCTCCATATCTTTACCTGAATTTGGTGGTGTCACTTTCTTATTTTAGCCATTCTGATAGGTATGTAGTGAATCTCATTGCAACTTTAATTTACATTTTACTGATAGTGATTTTGAATATCTTTTCATGTGCTTATTTGCCATCCAGATATCATTTTTGGTCAAGTGTCTGTTCATGTCTTATTTTTTTAATGGAATTTTTTTTTTTTACTGTTGTGTTTTCAGGGTTCTTTATCTCTTCTAGATAGGTGTTCTTTGTTAGATGTGTAGTTTGAAAATATTTCCCCCCCATCTGTAGCTTGTCTTTTCATCCTCTTTTAACAGGATAGTTTGCAGAGCTAATATTTTTAATTTTGGTGAGGTCCAGTTTTTTTCTTTTGTAGATCATGCTTTTGGGATGAAGTCTGAAAACTTGTTGCCTAGCCACAGATACTGAAAAGTTTCTATTTTTGTAAAATGTTTTATAGTTTTATGCTGTATATTTAGGTCAATGTTCTTTTTTTTCCCAATCTAAGGATATCTAGTAACTCCAGCACCATTTGTGGAAAAGGCTATTTTTCCTCCATTGAATTACTTTTGCACCTTTGTCAAACATCAGTTGACTATACTTGGGTGGGTCTATTTCTGGATTCTTTATTCTGTTCCATTGACCTGTATGTCTTTTTCTCCACTGATATCACATTGTCTTTATTACTGCAGCTGTAAAATAGATCTTAATATCAGGTAGAATGATTCCTCCCAATTTACTTTTTGTCAAGATTGTTTTAGCTATTTTAGAGTTTGTGCCTTTCCATATGAATGTTTTAGTAAGCTTGTCTATTTCTAAAAAGAAAACATTGCTAGGATTTTGATAGGATTTGCATTAAAGGTATAGATCAATTTGGGGGAGAATTGACATCTTTACTATTTTGAGTCTTCCAGTCGATAAGCATGGTATATCTCTCCATTTATGGAGCTTGTCTTTGATTTCCTTCAACAGAATTTTGTAATTTTCAGCATACTGATTCTGTACATATTTTATTAATTGTATACCTAAGTATTTAATTTTGGGAGAAATTATAAATGATATTGTCTTTTCAATTTTGGTTTAACAAGTTCATTGTTAATAGCTAGAAATGTACTTGCTTTTATGTGTTGATCTTGGATGTATCCTGAAATCTTGCTGAACTAACTTAGTTCTGGAAATTTTTTTGTGGATTCCTTGGGATTTTCTAACTGAAGAATCATGTCTTTGGCAAAAAGGAAGAGTTTATGCTTTCCTTTCCACTGGCTGTCTTTTTAAGAATCTATTTTCAGCCAGGCGAGGTGGCCTACGCCTGTAATCCTAGCACTCTGGGAGGCCAAGGCGGCAGGAACTCAGGAGTTCGAGTCCAGCCTGAGCAAGAGCGAGACCCCATTTCTACTATAAATAGAAAAGAAATTAGCCAAACAACTAAAAATAGAAAAAAAATAGCCTGGCACAGTGGTGTGTGCCTATAGTCCCAG